AAGGAAAGGAAAGGAAAGGAAAGGAAAGGAAAGGAAAGGAAAGGAAAAAGGAAAGGAAAAAGGAAAGGAAAGGAATCAAGAACTCTGAGGACCATCATCTGTAGGCTAAAGTCCAAATGCCTTTGAGGATCTCATAGTCTAGACCACTAAAACTGCCGGTCCAGCTGACCTTTGTGGTTTTGGCATTCAGATCACAACTCCACCCTCCCTGAGGGGTTTTCTTCCTTTAGGCAGCAAATGAACCAGACTCACGGGACTATTCAATACAGTCCTGGAAGGCCTCTTCCTGTGGTTAGAGGAGCCTGTCCAAATGGAGCCCACTTCATTCATGAATATGAATCAGCTCTTGCATCAAGTGCTTTTCTCTAAGACACATGACCAGACACAAAGATGAGTGATGATGATTCCTCTTACCTGAGTCACATATGAGTCACAAAGGAATGGAAGCAGCCATAGGCTGGATCTGTCTCATCTCCGTCACTCTGGCAAGTCACCTAATCTGTTGGAAACCATAGGATGAGGATAACGGTATAGATTTATTGGATGATGCACGATGATATATACTGTGCACACGATAGTGATCTAGGCATCAATATTTGCTGCTATTTTAATTATCCAAGGCAGATTCTGGGCTGTTCTCACACTTTCACAGAAAAGGTTCTGTGAAGCAATGTGTTTGGGATGGAAGAAGGGATCACAGAAAGTTTAAGGTAATAGGCAGCTGAGCTGTACTCATTTAAGGGAGAGAAATCAGGGCATTAGCACATGCTATTTCCAGGTGTGTAGCACTAAACTCCTAACTTCTGGGCGAGTCAATTTCCATTTTTGCAAAATGGTATGATTGTTACTTGTAGGCTATTGGGAAGGTCAAACTATATAGATAATGCAAAGAATCCAGTAAATTGCTGGGTGAGTGTCCCACGCCTTTAATCCCAGCATTTGGAAGATAGAGGCATATTGTGTCTCAGGCCAGCCTGTCTACAGAGTTCTTGGATAGCCAGGGCTACATAGAGAGACCCAGTCTGAAAAAGTCAGCAAGTAGGTCCTCCTCTGGCATTAGAACCTTGTTCTTTAACCTTTAACTCTTCTTCCTCACCAGGCAGATCTGCAAGGAGTTTGTGGATTTGATGGCTCAGGACCGCTCCCCACTAGGCAACAGCCGCCCAGCACTCATCCTGGAGCCCGGGGTGCAGAGCTGTCTGACACACTTCAGTCTCATTACTCATGGCTTCGGTGGGCCTGCCATCTGTGCCGCCCTTACTGCCTTCCAGAACTACCTGCTAGAGTCACTCAAAGGACTGGACAAGATGTTTATAAGCAATGCTGGCAGTGGGCATGGAGAAACCAAGGCTTCAGAGAAGGATGCCAAGCATCGGAAGTAACTGTCTCTTGTTCCCTAGCTAAGTGACTCCCAGTGCCTGAGAGGGGCCTTGGCTCCTGGGGGTGGCCTTGAAAAGACTAAAAGGTGGGATTCCATTCAGGCCAGAGAGAACGTTTATCCAGTAAGCCTAGAGTGGGACCTGGTTGGGTAAAGCAAGGAGGGCGTTCTGTGGTTTCTGTTAAGAGCTCAGGCAGGAAACTGTCATGGATGTCTGGCTCATGGGGCACAGCCCTTCCCACTGAGATGTCTGGGCAATGGTGAGTGCCCCAAGGGGATGCTATTAACAACTCAGAGGTGTTACTGAGGAGTTAGTGACCTTGACTCCAGGTCTCCTACCCCCAGAACATGGTGCTAGGAGGTCCCAATGGGCTCTTTGGATCCTTGTGACTCATGGAGAAGAGTGGGCAGGAAAGGACCCTGAGGAACAAGATGGTACAGCACAAACCATAGAACTTGAACCCAGTCCTGTTGCTGTCTTATTTATTTATGTACAATGTAATTAAATTTGAGAAATAAAAAATGTCCAGCACAAGTTATTTATCCTGAGTTGGGAATCCATTTTACTGGCTTCTCTGCTTATGTATCAAAATGTCCACCTGAGCAGTGATGGAGGGTGTTTTTGTTCACAAAGGGCTCTAAGCTGAGAAGGGAAGAAAGGTATGTTAGGCAGCAGGCTCTTCTCAGCGTGGGTACTGATGTCAGGAGTCTACATGCAGCGTCACATCGTTATGGTATTTGTGTGTGCGTCGAGCGAATGAATACTGTATGCCTATTATTTATTGTGACTTGCTGGGCTGTCTAGTCAGTCATGCAGGGTGTTACCATGGCTGTAGGTAGACAGTGCCGATGTGAATACAGATGGCTGTTTATGTCTGTGTGTGCCTCAAGTGGGCAAAGCTTAAGTCAGCTCTCATCTTCCTGATTGTCTTTCCCTCTGCTTATGATAGACCATACCTTAAGTACACATATTCTAGGATTCACCTTACAAAACACAAATCCTTTCTTTTGCAGGTGAACTTTTTTTTGTTGTTAGTTAGGTTTTTGGTGTTTTGTTGTTTGTTTATTTTTGTTGTTGTTGTTGTTTTTAAGTCAGGGTTTCTCAGCGTAGCTCTGATTGTCCTGGAACTTACTGTGTAGATCAGGCTGGCCTTAAACTCAGAGACCCACCTGCCTCAGCCTCCCGAGTGCTGGGATTAATGGTGTGCCCCATCACCGTCCTCCAGTTAAACCTGAAAGACTGTTACATCCCTTCCTTTATTCCCTCACTCCCAACTCTTAACTCACTAATGTCCCTGCCAGTTCATTTAAATCTGTTCGCCATCAGTGATCACATCGAAGCTAAAGCAGCTTTTTTCGATTTGATGTGACTAAACAAAAAGTTGCTCTTACAAACTTGTTTTTTAAAACAGGTTTTCACATAATCCAGGATGGCTTGGATAATGGTGAGGATGAGTACTGGAATCTCAGGTGTGCCACACCTGCTCTCTTGGTCCTTCTGAAATCCCGTGTGGTTCCCAGCTTTTCCTGGCCTCATCTGCCAGTTCCCATTGTCTTCTTTGCCGGATACTTTTCCACTTGACCTCTAAATCTTGGTCCTTGGGGCCAATGTCTCCCTGGATGGTTTTACTCTGTCCGGGACTTTCTACACCACATGTATGTTGCTGACCTCTACCTTCAGCCCAGATGTCTCTGAACTGTGGGATGTGGCGCTGCTCCCACTCCCCCTGCGGCTGCTACGGCAGCCTCCCAACCAGTCTGTATTCACTGGTGTACCGCTCTCCTAAGGCTGTGGTATGCAATGAGCTGAACATAGCCTGGCTTCTCCAACCTCATCAACAATTCTCTTCATCACTTACTTTATAGCAGCCATACTAATGTCTTTCTGTTCCTCAGACGTCATGTGTCAGGGCCACTGCTCACATTGTTCCCTTTGCCTGGAACATTCTTCCCCCAGTATTTGCACATGTACTGTTAGACAAAGATGTTGGGGTCTTTAACAGTCCAAGGATGTGCCTTATTTTCTCAAGAGATTTTTTTGAGACAGCGTCTCTGAATCCCAAGACGAGCTCCACCTCACTATGTAGCTGAGGATAGCTGGCTCTCTTGACTATACACTCCAAAACTGGGAACAACACCATACCTGGTTTATGCAGTACCAGAGACAAACCCAGGGCCTTCTCTATGCTAGACAAGCACTGCACCAATTGAGTTCTCAAACTGTCTTAAGCCATAATCCATCCATGCAAAAGAATGAGAGAATGAAGGCGTATACTCTCCGTTAACCAAAATCTCTGCTCCGGCAAGACATTAGAATATTAAAATTATCAGACTGCTAGAAATGGTGGCACACACATTTAATCCCAACACTCAAGAGAAAGCGGCAGGGGGATCTTTGTGAGTTCAAGGCCAGCCTGGTTTACATAGTGAGTTCCAGGACAGCCAGGCAGGTCTATACACTGAGATTCTGTTCAAAAACAAGAAAACTCAAGGAAAGCTCATTAAGTGAAGGCGTGTAAGCTTGACTACCCAAGCTTGCTTCCCAGAACCCACATAAAAGTGGAAGAACAAACGTCACAAAGTTGTCTGACCAAGACAAATATATATAAACACAATTTTTAAAATAAAAAAACTCTACCTCCTTTAGAAAAATAGAGAACTAAAAAAACAAAACAAAACAAACCCAAAAAACTCAAATTATGACTAGCCTTTATTTTTGTGTGTGATGCGGCAGATCAAACTCAGAGTCTGACACTTGTTAAGCAGGTACTCGACTATTGAGCCACCGCATGTATATTTGTATCCTCACTTATTTTTGTATTATGTGCATTGGTGTTTTAACTTCTGTCTGTGTGAGGGTATCAGGTCCCCGGAACTGGAGCTACAGACAGTTGTGAACCACCAAGTGGATGCTGAGAATTGAACCTGGGTCTTCTGAAAGAGCAGTCAGTGGTCTTAACTGCTGAGCCATTTCTCCAGCCCCTACCTCTGTCTTTAAAAAACAAGAGCACTGTCTGCTCTTCCATAGGTTCTGAGTTCAATTCCCAGCAACCATAGGGTGGCTAACAACAATCTATATTAGAATCTGATGCCTTCTGACATGCAGGTATACATGCAGATAGAGTATTTATACATAAAATACATACATAAAATCTTTCTTAAAAATGGATATCAAGGCTTAAAAAAAAAATAGGAAAGAAAACTGGACCTCAGCTGGAGGGATGGCTTAGCAGTGAAGAATACTTGCACTCTTCCAGAGGACCTGGGTTTTGATTGCCAGGACCCACATGACAGCTCAAAACCATCTGTAAACTCCAGTCACAGGGGATCTCATGTCTTTTTCTGGCACCAGGCTCAAACATGGTGCATACATGCAGGCATACAGCCATACACTAAAGACAAATAAAATAAAAAGTACACAGGTAAACAAGCAAGTAAGCAAGCAGGGCCTACAGGCAAAACCCCATAATCCTATTGAGTAGTGAGGCTGAGGCAAGAAGATCACAAGTTCAAGACCAGCCTGAATTACATAGCTAGTTCAAAGCCAGGACAGGCAAATTAGTGAGACTTTGTCACAAAACAAAAAGTAAAAAGAGGGTTGAGGATGGAGTTCGGTGGCTGAGCTCTAGGCTACCATTGCGAGGCTCTGGGTTCCATCTCTGATATGCTCTTTGTCAACACACAAGGTACAAAGGCCAGGCATAGTGTGAAGCAGGCCTATATCCAGTTCTTGGAAAGTGGAGAAAGAATGATAAAGGGTTGAAGGCCATCCTTAGCTACACAGAGTTCAAGACCAGCCTGGGCTACATGAAATTCCATCTCAAACAAAGAAACGTTAAGAAATTAGTAGTTGAGATGTCCTCTGAGAAAGTGATTAGATTATAACAGGAGGAATACTTTCTGTTTTTGCACTGCTGACATTTACTAAGTACATTAATTAGTCAACTGAAAAAGATTTAAGGGATGGGGACACAATTCAGTTGGTGAAATGCTTGCCCCATAAGCACAGTACTTGAGTTTGATCCCCGGAACACAAGGGCATGTTGGTGCAAGGCAGACTGGCCTCCACACTGCACACACGTTATGTATTTCAAAACAAAACAAAAGGGTTTTTTTTGTTTGTTTGTTTTTTAAAGACAGGGTCTCTCTACATAGCCCTGGTTGTCCTGGAACTCACTATGTAGACCAGGCTGGTCTCAAACTCATAGAGATCCACCTGCCTCTGACTTCTAAATGCTGGGATTAATGGTGTGCACCACCATGTCTGGCTAACAAAAAAAGATTTAAGTTTAAAGGCAAAAAGATTCACTGCTTTAGAGAGAACAAGACATTAACAAGAAAGAGACTGAATGAGCTAAATGAAAGAAGCTGGAGAGAATGCATGGCTGTGAGCTGGAAAAGCCACTTACGTCACTAACAGAGGGAGAGACAAGAACATCTCCTGGCAAGAGGATAACTCTCCTTCCAGTGCCTTTCTAAGGTAATGTTAGGTAAACTGAGACCAAAACCAAAACCAGAAAGCTCAATTTAGCTATATTCAGCTTTATTTTTTGAATTAACCATCTATCAAGAGTGCACATCAAAAAATGTAGAAAAACGAAAGGAGCCCATCAAAAAAAGTTCCCTAGTAAGTGGCAGGGAAGGATGTGATGTTAGGGTGTCTGCTTAGCAGAGAAGGTGATGTTCTCCAGAGTATGGATACCATTTTTGTCAATGACCCGAACGCTGAAGGTAGGCAGATTCAAGATGAAGCGCTTCTGGAGCTGCAGAGACATAAAGGAAATCAGTGAGCAAATGTTTACGGAATACTAACAATGTGGCAGGTTCTGTTTTAAGCTAAAAGGGTCAGGTGTAAACCTCTCCTTTTGTGAAACTGAACTGATAATCTAGTAGGAGCAGCTGGTACTATGTCACTGAAGAATGTCTAGACAGTGGCTGGAGACAGACTAGAAGGTAATGACCATGACCTGGGAATTCAGCTATGAGCCTGCCTCTGGTCAGTCAGTTGGTACACTAGCCAATC